TCTCTTTTCATAGATACTTTCAAAAAATTTTGTTATTCAATTGAAGAAGGCAAAATTACTTTCTGTTTTACACTGGCATAATAAAATAACTCAATCTGACAAGTTAATATTGTCTATCCTTCGGAAACAAATCTTAATTCCATATTTACCAAATTGCACTAGAAACGCTTAAACTAGAGGTACAGACCAAAGGCAGCGATTCAACTGTTGAAGCACAAGCTGCTCTGCCTCCTACTTATGTGAATTATTTATCATTTCATAGTATATATAAAAAGTCAAATGCATTTTAAAACCTTAGTCCACATGTCTGGGCTGAATAAGAATCCCTCGAAGCAACAAAAGTAGAGCGCAAAAGAATAAAAGCATAACAGTGTCATTTTGTGTTAAAGAGATGCACTGCCTTAAGTTAAATATTAAGCACTTAAAAAGGAGAAGCGAGGGGGTCATTCAAACCTTTTACATGTAAATACGCAGAAATAAAAGAAAAAATAAATAAAACATTCAGTTAACATTTACCAGAATGTGCAAATTATTCTGATAAACAAAAATGGAATAAATGGTACCGGTAATTTAAAGAAAACAAAGGACTGACAACTTCCTTTTAAAATCGTACAGCTTTCAACTCCAAAGCATTTGTCATCTCTGTATATAATGCTGCATTTAACCAGCATGAAAAATTTCTATATTTTGCTGAGAAGCCAAAATACAACTTAATGAATAGTTCAACAGAGGTTTAGATTGTTAAAAAAATCAATATTTTGTGTTGCTTATCTCAGGAAGTAAACCCTGCAGAGCACAGATTGTCAAAGGAAAAGGAAAAAAATTGGTAGGGAGAGAAGAAACAGGGATAGCTCCAGCTTTATGAGATTTATCCAGCAAAATCCAAGAAAATTTAGAGGAGTTTTAGAGGGAATCGGCACGCCCAGAGCCACTACACACAAAGAAATGGGGGCCAAAAGTGTTGCATCCCTCATGTTTAGTCTGCTCACAACCAATGACAAGAACTGGACTGGTGCTCCATGATCCTAAGCCTTGTTTTCATATAGAAAAGAAAGTCTGCATCTCATTTAGGATAAAGGTCTAAAAGACAGGAGGAAGAGTTCAGAGACATGTGATCCATGTTACTTGAAGTCCGGCTTGAAGTTTCAAGTGCCAGTGTTGATTTGAGGTAACACATTATCTACTGATGATGAAGTAAACTTCCCAGAAATTCCAGATCACCTCTCATGTCCTTCCACTGACAATCTTTATTATATTTCTCAGCAGGACTTGGCACCTGCTTACACTATTAAACAGATCAAAACCTGATTCAATGGTTATGGTGTTACTGTGTTTGAGAGCCCAGTAAACTGCTCTGACTTGAGCCAGATAAATTCTCCAAGAGGTGTCAAAACACCTTGGGATTCCTAAACAGTTCAGCAGTTCCACAGGCTGATCGTCTCCATGCATTGCTTAATAAATGTAGCAAAAACAGGCCTAACCACATTTTTGTAATCTACATATAAATTAACATACTTTCAGAGGTTTGACATTGCCATTTAAAATAATTATTTTTTTTATTTATGTTATATAATACTCTAACTTTCAGAAACACTAACATTTCTTGGGTTCTTATTATTCATGCACATTACTAGAAATAAGGACTGATATAAAGGACTTTATAAAGGAGTTTGAGTTTAGCAAATCTATATAACAAGAAGTTTCCCTTTCTGAAATACATGATAAAAAATGTTTATCCTGGTATACTGAGGTGAGAAGAAAAGAGAAAAAAGGAAGAGAAAATTTAGACTCCAAACAAATAAGGAGGTTATTATTATTTTTTTTTTTTTAATGTTTGCTCTTCTGCACTTCAAAGATTCCATTCATCTGTTTGCTGTGACAGTATCTATTTAACTTTGAACAGATTTAAAGTTAAAAATATTACATCTTTGACTTGAAAAACGCACAAACCTAAATAAGCTGTGAACAACTTCTCACCAAAGTAGGAGCTGTGCTCGACTTACCCTTTGCTCACGGCAGATTACAACCATTCTAATGCTCATCATGCAACGCAAATGAAAAGATTTCAGAGTCCAGCAGGGCTTTTAAAGCCAGGTGGTTTAAAGCAAAATGCCTTTATAACACCATCAGCCTAATGCATGCATACTGTAATAGGTGGGTTGACTTGACATTAGGCTAGTAAGGTAAGTCTAGTATTGAAATTTTTTTGGATCCATAGATGTGTTTGTTTTTAAGCTACATTTTATAAAGGTACAGTACCTATCTGATACCAGGCTACATCCCACCCTCACAGGTTTGGTAACCTATAATTTAATGTTATGCTCCATTTTCCAAAAAGAAAAAATGCCTAATGGAAACATTTTAAATTTTTGTTTTTCTTTTAAGTTAAGAATCTGTGCTATTCAGAGCTTTAACTCTTGCAGTTTACAGTACTTCATAATTCAATGGCATGTGTTCAAAGGAAATCTGTTTTAGAACAAAAGAAAATCCTTCGATTTTCTTATGTTTTGCTCGCCTCTGAAGGTAAAATCCAGGCAACAAATCATTACACAAGTCAATATATTTTAAACAAGCCAAAATGATCCAGCAATGGTTTTTAATCAATAGTATAAATAATTGCTGCATATCTCTGCAACACTTGCTTCAAAGGGAAAACATGTCTCTAAAAATTTATTTTTTTTCATTGTACATATATAAATATTATGCAAAGCAAACTGCAATGAAAAATGTATGTACCGACTGCTGTGTAGTAGAACTCAAACCCAACTGCACTCAGATACTCCAGCAGTCTGACAGCAGCCAGACGTTCTGTGTTAACCCAAAAGTCCCTAACACCAGTGGGAGTAGCAGAGCCAGTGGAGACTACAAGCATCCTTTGTGTGTCAGGGAGTTTCTGTGAGTGCCCACCAGATTGCCAGCCATTAAATATTAACCAGCAAAAGAAAGCAAGGGGTCACCCATGGTTGATCCATAATAATTCACCACTTCTTTGATTCAAGTCATTCAGGAGATAGCCGGAGGGCAAGAGAGCAAAACAGAGAGAAAGAAAGGAGAGTGAATGTGAAACCTTTGATGAAGGGAAACTGAAAATTTATGAGAAACAATATTTTTTTTACCTTAGTTTAAACTTGTTTACCCATTTGTAATTCCTACAGGCCCTTTTTTGAAGCAGTTTGACACGACGGGTCATAGTTATGTGCACTACTCATAATGATAAGTAATAGACTTGAGATTCAAATAGAATTTAAAATGTATTCAAAAATATTTGTTTATCAATCAATATTAAAACTGGACTAAAATTTCTTAATTAAACTAAAAAGATCACCCTAAAACCTCCTTAAATGTTTTAAACATTTAAAAGCTTCCAGAATTGTTTGGTCTATAATACTGTTTGTTTTTATGCTCTTTTCTTTTACAGTGTCTGGCTTTCAGAATATCCTTTTAAGACCATTTATTATATCTTACCAAAGTATATATAAAAAAAAAAAAAAACACTATAAGCACTATAAGGTTAGGATTTAATGGTTCCATGAGGCTGTTTAGAATGAGTGTGCATAAATCCATTTCTGCAAAAGTGATCCTCAATGTTACCTTAAAGGTATAGGCGAAGATTTTTTCAAATTTTTTGAAAAGACCCGCCCTCTCCACAATAAAAGAATGCACATGCACAACCCTGTACCTGTTCCCGAGAGGGAACGCCTGTTAAACGTGTGCAAGAGCATGCATGAGGCTATTTATCCTCGTGCACGCTCTGCTTTCTGTTTGCTCGCTCATGCAAGCTTACTTTAAAAAAAAGAAGATTTGCAATTATTTTACTATGCCAGACTCATTACCGCTAAGTGAAAAAAAAAGAAAAAAAAAAGAAAAGATGAACGAGCACGTAGGACGGACTCACATAAACATATTGATTGATTGATAATTAGGAGGACCACTTATTTTGATGATCCACCTGGAAATAGAACATCCTCCACTATAGCTTTAAGGACCGAATTTCAACTGCTATTAGTTTCAGCCATGATTGTCATTGTTATTTTACTCTAACCAAGTGTTTTTAAATGTTTTGATTAGAAAAATATGAGAAACTTTATTGACACCATTCCCTGTGAACTCATCTCTGCATGGCACCTTATATTTTAGCATATGTACAATCACCATACAACGTTCATAACGTCTACTAAAACTAAGAGTAATATAATCCAATTTCAAAAGGTGTCTCACCCCAGTAGTCTATTATGTGTCGATGGAACAATGGTTATTTACATTTCATTTGATTAATATTGTGTATTTTTTTCCAACCTAGTTGTAGCAAGCTAAACCCTGACAAAGGAGGCAAAGACAGAAACAGGATAAAAAAAACCCACCAAAATGAAAGAAGAACTTAAATGATGCTATTCATAGTTTTTAAAGAGTTTTGCTGAAAGTGTTTTCTGCATCACAGCTTTACTGAATGTTCTGTTGTAGTAAGATAAGGGGTCCTGTATGAAAGCCCTAAACTTGACAAACATTGTGGCTTATGGTAAATGTACTGACAGCAAGGTTTAAAACATTCTTTTAATTTGTATTATTGTACTTGTATGCAGCCTGTTTGTGATTTAGTTTTTGCCACTGTTTCTAACTATGCTTCTACTGTTTAAAAAAGAAAAATACTTGAAACTCACAGCACCAAAATTGTATATCAGAACAAAGATTTAAATATTTCCTTTTAAAATTAAAATAATAAAAATGATAATAATTATAATTGCAACAATAAACAATTTAAGATTAAGAGAGCGCAAAATGTTAAGAAATGCCCAAACTGATTTTTGTTTTCAAATATATATATTCTGACAAAAAAGTTCCATAAATGTAGATTTGTCCTGATCAGAAAAATATGTCATCTTAACTTAAAACCATAGCCGGTGAAAGTAATTAAAGCTGTGTCCATGAACATTAGCGCCAAGCAACCCTCAAGCTTTAGTGCCCAAATGCCCCTGAGGGTACTTATTCTGTTTTTGTATTACCTGTTATAGTTTCCAAGGTTTTGCTCCAGCTCTGTTATTCTGCGAAGTTTGTGGAGGAACCACTTATCTATGGCCGTGAGCTGATGAATTTGATCAACATTCATACCATTATGCAGCGCCTGAAAAGTAAAAAGTATAACAGAGAATGAACATCAGTTTTCATCATCTTCTTATTCATCATTTATTCCCCTGAAAGCTGGCATTCAGAGGCTTTCAGCTGATGATGAACATCCAGTGATTTCAAATGAAGACCGTTGGACAGTAAACATAAATAAAAAGCGGCTGTCCATTCCCCTTTCAAGGACTGCATCAGATGACATATATATTGCAGGAGAAATATATTACTTTGGCATTTCATTAAAAAAGCATTGTTTAAACACCTTGTGTCATCGACATATAATATACCAGGGGTCCTGCTCAGACAACAGATAGTAAATATTTTTTACAGGATATATATCAGACGTCTGACAAGCTGAATCAATCCAATAATGTGGAAGGATTTTAGTCAAACAATGCTATGCACAGCCAAATAAAAATGCTTGTGCAGTTCCTCTATACATGGTTAACTATCAGTTTAGCTATGCCTTTAATAAAATGCTGTTTCTTTAATCACTTGTGAAAACATTTTTCACATTTTATTACATTGTCTTACTTCAATGTGTTGAATTTCCTCCTTTTTTTAATAACAGCATTAGGTCTAGATTAAATGGAAAGTGAGCAGCAATTTTAAACAGTTTTTTTTTTTTTTTTTACTGGACTATGCATGCTGAATTCTAAGAAATGAATATTATTTATTCATATGACCTCATTGTAGACTGGTCTAGATTCTCAGTTATAATTCTAAGTGCTTACAAAGAAAGTAAATGGACTCCTTCCCAACCCTAATATGGCACTGTTACATGGGTTCTCTGGAAACAGGACTTATCAAGCCATTTCCGAAAAACTTCACGATAAAAGCAGAATTTTAGGATTCCATTACTAGAAGTGGTTTTGCAAAAAAAAAAAAAAAAATAGTAACAATAAAAAAAAAAGTTTTTTCCAAAGTATGGATTCAGGAGCGGTCCACATTACATGGAAGAGATCTCCAAGTATTGTAGGAAAAGTAGGACATTGTCTTCAAACATAACTATGCTTTTAAATATCTGCAAGACTCCACCCATGAGTAATTTTCTAAGAAACCTCTTATGCCTTCACAGGCCATCTATATTTAGTGAGATTAAATTATACATATCTAAATTGTATCTAAAAATTAGCTAGCTTCTAATAGTATCTGATTTTATCAAGAAGTGTGTGCCACAGTAAATAGGATTACATCAAAATGCCCACCACCAATCCTGGCAGGTTTGATTTGTGTTCATCTTCACTAGTCTCCACTATAGTGTGTCTCTCTGTCATATATGATGCCCCCCGAAATTAAGGATTTTAGTATTTGAGAGACAAAAATTTGAGAAGTTAAGGAGATTGTGTCATTGTGTAACATCTAAAGAAAACTATAGCACCAACAAAATATGACAAGAAATATGACAAAGTAATAATTTACTATTAAAAGACTCTAACCCTGAACAACATGAAATGTGTACTTTCATATCTTATTTTACTAGTAGTGATGAAAACCAGAAAATCATCAAACCTTTTGCAAGGTTTTCACTTTCCACTGGAAATTCCTCTCTATGTTGGAATAAACATCACTGACCCTAAAAAATTTGATCTGTCTCTTTTTCAGCCTTAAAAAATATAGACTAAAACCTATTCACCCACAATCTTCAGCAGAAATGGATAGATGGCAAATATTTCAAAGCTATTATGAAATGTGGATTATCTCTGTACCACATTTTAAAAAGTTGCATTGTCAGATAATCAAAGTGTTTATATGAGTTTTATGGGTATCACTTTTGCTGTTCGTGTAATCCGCAAAAGGCAAGATTTCAAAGATAAGGTTTTCCACACAATTAATCATTCATTGCCACTCATCCAGAAGGCGAGGGAAAAGAATTTTCATTAACTCTTCAAAATGTAGTTTTAATGAGCAAACCGTAGTCAGACCCATTTATTATTAATGTTTTAAAGGGTTTGGGCACCTTGGCAAGGGAGAAGATGCGGGTGCTGGAGGGCACAGCGAGCTCCTGTTGAAGGTTTTGTGTGTTGCCCCAGGCTTTCTTGAGTGGCAGCCGGGGAACAAAGCCCTCCACAGATGGATGACACATCCTCAAGGCCTTCTGCACACTCTCCTCAAACGTCCGGCCAACCGCCATCACCTGAATCCACAGGAGGGGGAAGGTTAATGACTAAGTGAGCACGTAAGTTAGAAAGTGTTTAATTATATATGTCCTACCCACCTCTCCAACACTTTTCATGGCACTACCTATTTCCCGAGACATGCCCTGAAAGCGGTCCAGGTCCCAGCGGGGAATCTTGGTGACAATGTAGTCTAAACTTGGCTCAAAGCAGGCAGTGGTCTTCTCTGACACAGCGTTTTTGATGTCTGGCAAAGGGATTCCCAGAGCTAACTTAGCAGCTACAAATGCCAAGGGGTACCTGTAAAACCACAGTAAACAGCCTCACCAATATCAACATTTGAGCAGCACAATGGAGAAAAATAGATCCCTCTCTCAGTACCAGCTAAACTATATCCCTCTGATCATGAACCAATTTTTGCACATTTTGCAGTTGTATGATTTGAATATGCCAATGCAATGTACAACCTATTTTAAAGTCTGGTCCTGTCTTCAAATAAAGATAATTTAATGTGGCTTATAAGTAATACAACCTAGTAGCAAAAACGTTTGTCATATTTTTCTTTTACCAATTTGAAGATAAAACATTGTGATAAAAACTGATTTATTACATGAATTATATTATGGGAATTGGTTCTTTTACTGTTTTTTACTGTTTAAATGACACTGAATGGTTCAAACAGAAATCAGTAAATATAAATACATATAAAAAATATGAAAGAAAGTTATACATTTTCTCTGTCCTCTTTAAATGTGGCAAAGATCTGATTAAACAAAAATTCCAAATATCTAAGAGAACTTGGCCCTCCCACATCATTTTACAGTTGTGAATGAATCTGTTGTTTATTTTTAAGGATAAGGAGTTTTAGTTTTCATCTAAATGATATTAAAATTAACTCTGATGAGCATAAACTATGGCTAGACATCTTCTGTGCCCTTGGTTTGTTTCTCAGGAAACTGCATGAACTGTGCTATGTGCTTCAAAATATCCATTTAGATGCATTTTAATGCTTCTGACAGCACTACCTGTATGTAGATATGCAGTGTATGCTTCTACCCCTGACAATTTCTTTTTGTTTTTTTAAGCAAAATGTTAAAGAATACACTTAAAAAAAATCTTGATGGCACTTATTATATAGGATATATTATATAGTCACTTATTATAGAAGAATTATTAATCCAAGTGAGTAGTTGATTGTAAGACAAAATTGTTATTTTTTATGTCATTATGAATCAGTACAATCCGCATAAAACTTTAAAGAAATGTTCTCTCCCTCTCATAGTCTCGAATATTATTTTCATCCTCTCCCCTTATTTTTAATTGGTTTACATAACTGGCCCTTGCTTTGAAACGTTGAATGAATACTGACACAGTGTCAAGACAAGTGCAAAACCTTGGTCCTTAGCTATTTACTGAAGATAGCGGAAATGTGATTAATTTCAGATTGAGGCCATTTTGATATATAAACATACAAAAAAAACATCTATTATTTAATAAAAAGTATTGTGAAACTTAAGAAATGGCATCATCAAACTACCAACCAACAGAATTGTGAGCAAAGCACCGTGTACAGCAATGGATCAGTGCCCTTCATCAAATAAAGTAATACTTATACAGGAAGGAACTATTATGCATCATGTGACTGTTTTTCGTATCAGAGACAACAAAACTCGCTAGAATTTAAGACAAAGTTTAAAATTGTGGCATATTTTCATTTTCCAAAGAGTTGAGCTTAGATAGATTATATTCCTCCAAGATGATAATATTTCAATGGGTAATCTGACTTCTTACATATTTTTGCTGGAACCCTATGAAATTTAGAAAAATCCTCATATCTGTCTAAGAGTGAGAGATTTCCTCATTAACACAGAAACTGTGGAATGATTATCTTCCTGTTTTATATTAGATGGAGATCTTGGAGGCTACTGTATATGCATTTTGACAAAATAATACACCACAGAAAGTTCTTACCCAGTAGCTTTGGATGCCAAAGCTGAGCTCCTTGAGAGTCGAGCGTTCACTTCAATGATGCAGTACTCCAGAGATGATGGATGGAGAGCATACTGGATGTTACATTCGCCCACAATTCCCAGGTGCCGCACCACCTTAATAGCCGTCTCACGGAGCATGTGGTACTCTTCATTGGACAATGTTTGACTTGGTGCTACTACTATGGAGTCACCTACAAGTAAAGGAGGAGTTAAAAAGTTCCTTAAAATTCTCCCAACTTGAAATGATTGCGAAATGTCAATGCTATTTTAGCAACAATTTATCATCTAATGCATAGTCATCAGTGCCAGATTATCCAAGCATTTGTTGAGAGATCTCTAGCATTCCTGGGTGTTTCTGATTGCATGATCATGACCCGTTCTGCCTCTGGAATACTGAGCCTGCTTCTTCTCATTCTAATGTTTTTGCCTGACCTTTTTTTAAGCTCCTGCTGGATTTCTGCATGTCTGTGTACCTAACCTGGAACTGTTTCCCGGCACCTTCCTGGATTTCCTTCGGTACCTCTTCAGACCTTTGATCTCCTGGCTATGACTCCCAAGCAAGTCTTCTACACTGACTTTGGCTTCCCCCTATAGATTTTCCGGCCTTCCATCATCTGCTTGGTTCCGATCTCCTGCCTATCCGCCGACATCCGGGACATTAGCATCTGGGATCTCTGGGCAGCGCCCATCGCATCTTGTTGGCATCTGAGTGACTCACATATTCATTATCGTCCTCGATCAGATTGACATGGTCACCAACCTGTGTTCTCCATTGCCTTTCCGCCTCAAATACTGGGTCCTTTTGTTCTGACCCAGACAATTTTAGAATTGACCTGAAAATATGTTTGCCTTTTGCTGTTGTCTTTTCCCCAATAATTATGTTAGCAATAAAATGCTCAATTCAACTAGGACATGTCTTTTTCCGACCTTTAGAATGCTACAAGATTCAAAATATTTGAAGAGATGTTGGGAGACCTAATCCAACAACATTGTCTGATCTCAAAACTAATTTCCGGAATAAAATCCAGGTATACCTACAGACAACAATTAAACCTTGTTAAAAAAAAAAAAAACCTTGAGTTAAAGCAGATGCAGCTGCAAAGAATGGATTCTTTTCATTAATAATAGGGGAAGTGCTCATACCAGTGTGAATTCCCAGTGGATCAAAATTCTCCATGTTACAGACTGTAACGCAGTTATCAGCCACATCTCGCACAACCTCATATTCCACCTCCTTCCAGCCAAGTAAAGACTTCTCCACCAGAATCTGACTGCTCATAGCAAGAGCCTGTATTTCAAAGACACACACATATATAAATATACATAACAAAAAATATTGCACAGAAGCAATCAAATTCGTCATCAACTAAAACAAGATCAGATGTTTTGCGCACCAACCCAGTAAGTACACTATACTTAGTAATATCTGTATTTGAAGTTTGGTAATTTTGAAGGAAAAATAAAAGGTTTGCACATCCTCTCTGCTGAACTGCAAACATAAATTATTTTGCACCTTCTTTGAAGATCTGTTCTGAGCATACAGACATGTTTGCACATTTTAAGATGCACACACCTGAAGATCAGGCTCTCAGGAAATAGTTGTGAAACTATAACCTTTCCCTTTATTTTGTATTAGAGAACAGATCAACTGTTTATCCAAATAACTACGTTATAGAAATATTTTCTTTGGAAAACTTATGGCAAATTCATTTATTTTCATTTGGGAAGACTTTCAGTCTTTTAATTGAATTTTGTTATGAAATTGAGTGGTGCTTAAAAAAATGATATTAACCATTTGAAATCACTATAAGTCAAATGTACAATATTTAAACCTTCTGTGCAGTTTCCTCCAGCTTCTCTTTTTCAGCACACAGACCAGATCCCAGACCTCCCAGTGCATAGGCTGATCGTAACATGACTGGATATCCTATCTTCTCTGCTGCTTTTAAAGCATCACACACCTGAAAAAGAGACACATGCAATATTTAAGACCAAACCAAAGTGATTGTATGTAAAAAAAAAAAAATAAAATAAATAAATAAATAAATAAAAATAGACACCCACACCTACCAGTACTAAGGATTTGAACACTTACCGACTTCACAGCAATGCTGGGTGCAATCTTCTCATTGATCTCCATTAGTTTGTCAGCAAAAAGCTGCCGGTCCTCTGTTGCCATGATGGATTCCACTGGGGTCCCTAAGACTTTCACCCCATACTTCTCCAAAATGCCATGCTGGAATAATTCCACTCCTGAAGACAATTTCATATTTAATCACCAAAACAACCCTAATAAAATGTAAATGCATGGACTATCACATGGTAAATACTTATTAAAAGCTTAGGTAAAAATTAAAGTTTCAAAAAGTGAATTTCTAATTTTATTAACTGCATTAAAGTATCGCTTTATACCACAATTAAGTGCAGTCTGTCCACCCATGGAGAGAAGGATGCCATCAGGACGCTCAGCTTTAATCACTTCTGTTACAAATTGTGGCGTCACTGGAAGGAAGTAGACAGAGTCTGCCTGCTTGGAGCCCACTTCATTGGTCTGAACAGATGCTATGTTTGGGTTCATGAGCACCGTCTTCAGATTTTCCTCCTACATTACCATAAAACAAAGACAACAGTTTAAAAACACTAGAAGGAACCACTATAATATTTCAATAATTTAGGTCACTAGAAAATAAATGTGTGTTTGGATACAGAATGTGGACCCATAAAGCAGTTTCTTAACTTGTTAGGGGGAATCTCTTTTTTCCTAGATTTTTAGAGTATTCAATTTCAAAACTGGCTACACACTATTAACCTTGCACTGCAAGCTAGATTTTCACAAGATCTGTTTTCAGTCTCACAACAAATCCCTCTTGAAAGACTCCAGCTAATACGTCCATCTCCAAACCACCAGCGAGTCGGACCAACAACATGCCAGCAGTTTTTTGGGGGCGGGACATGTAGGAATCACGACAGTCAGAAGGGTCTTGCTGGAGCATTACAAACATGGCTCCGCTGGAGGACTAACCTATCGATACCGCAAACTGACTTGGTTTTAGCTAAAATAGTGACAATTTATCATTTCAAATAGGAGCAAGAAAAGCACTTTGTGCATTTATATATCGGAAAGATGTCTGTGTTTTTCTTCTGACAGTTTTTGGAAAAGTTTGGTTCATCAGCTTACAAAATGTCATGATTTGCTGCTACGATTGGCTGAAAGCATATTATGGAAAAGGCGGATACTAGCTGGCACATCACCTAATCATGCCATTCTTTTCTTTCTTTTTTTCCCCTAGCTTTTTATTATCATCACACTGCCACAATTACAGAGCAACGAAATGAACTCTCTGCATTTAACCCATCCCCTTGGGGAGCAGTGGGCTGCCATTGTGCAGCACCAGGGTAGCAGTGTGGGGTTAAGGGACCCAGAATAGCAGTCTGTGGGAGTGGGGCTTGAACTCAAATCCTCTGGATTCCAATCACAATGTCCTAATCACTAGGCCACCACTTCCCCTTTTCACAGACAGAGTGAACGCCAGTCATCCCAGATTCATATTGTAGATGTCAACTCAGTTCTACATATATCAATCTGGCTACTGCCAGGTTAAAAAATATTTAATTAAAAATGTATTTTAAAAAATCAGCTATCTTTAATACTGGTTGACATTTTCTATTTTCACCAAAGCTAAAAACAAACTTTGGCAGCTTCTCTTTGCTCTGTTGTTGCTTTTCCTACATTAAAATGCTCTACAGAACATTCTGTCTGTGTAATAACAGCTTTATGTCATTCAGATAGGACTCCCTTCCTGTTCCTGTTGAACAAAAGCCTCTCCACAGTTAGATTTTTACACAATATTTCACTGTGGTGATGTTCTTTCTTAAATAATTTATTTTTGATACACTATATTGCCAAAAGTATTTGCTCACCCATCCAAATTATTGGAATCAGGTGTTCCAATCACTTCCATGGCCACAGGTGTATAAATTCAAGCACCTAGGCATGCAGACTGTTTTTACAAACATTTGTGAAAGAATGGGTCGCTCTCAGGAGCTCAGTGAATTCCAGCGTGGAACTGTGATAGGATGCCACCTGTGCAACAAATCCAGTCGTGAAATTTCCTCGCTCCTAAATATTCCACAGTCAACTGTCAGCTGTATTATAAGAAAATGGAAGTGTTTGGGAACGACAGCAACTCAGCCACGAAGAGGTAGGCCACGTAAACTGACGGAGCGGGGTCAGCGGATGCTGACGCGCATAGTGCGAAGAGGTCGCCAACTTTCTGCAGAGTCAATCACTACAGACCTCCAAACTTCATGTGGCCTTCAGATTAGCTCAAGAACAGTGCGCAGAGAGCTTCATGGAATGGGTTTCCATGGTCGAGCAGCTGCATCCAAGCCATACATCACCAAGTGCAATGCAAAGCGTCGGATGCGGTGGTGTAAAGCACGCCGCCACTGGACTCTAGAGCAGTGGAGACGCGTTCTCTGGAGTGACGAATCGCGCTTCTCCATCTGGCAATCTGATGGACGGGTCTGGGTTTGGCGGTTGCCAGGAGAACGGTACTTGTCTGACTGCATTGTGCCAAGTGTAAAGTTTGGTGGAGGGGGGATTATGGTGTGGGGTTGTTTTTCAGGAGCTGGGCTTGGCCCCTTAGTTCCAGTGAAAGGAACTCTGAATGCTTCAGCATACCAAGACATTTTGGACAATTCCATGCTCCCAACTTTGTGGGAACAGTTTGGAGCTGGCCCCTTCCTCTTCCAACATGACTGTGCACCAGTGCACAAAGCAAGGTCCATAAAGACATGGATGACAGAGTCTGGTGTGGATGAACTTGACTGGCCTGCACAGAGTCCTGACCTCAACCCGATAGAACACCTTTGGGATGAATTAGAGCGGAGACTGAGAGCCAGGCCTTCTCGTCCAACATCAGTGTGCGACCTCACAAATGCGCTTCTGGAAGAATGGTCAAAAATTCCCATAAACACACTCCTAAACCTTGTGGACAGCCTTCCCAGAAGAGTTGAAGCTGTTCTAGCTGCAAAGGGTGGACCGACGTCATATTGAACCCTATGGATTAGGAACGGGATGTCACTTAAGCTCATATGTGAGTCAAGGCAGGTGAGCAAATACTTTTGGCAATATAGTGTATGTGCAATTCAGTGAATTCAAACCTGATGTATATATTTTATTTTTCTTGTCGCATGTCTCTTTTGCAAATGCCAAACCAAACTTCTCCTGGTTTCCTTTCACAATGAATAGCTTCTCACCCCTCTCTCTCATAAAGTTAAAATTTTGAAGTGATTGCACTGGCTCATAATAACTTTATACAGACTGAAAAGAGAGAACCCTGTACTATGCCTTTTATATTTCACTTTGTATAAAAATGTAAAAACCATACATAATTTTCAGTGTATTCAGTTTAAAATATTACCTTTAGTTGATCTGCCACTCAAAGTACGTAAATACGGTCTTTAAAGAAATTGTAATTTTATTGAAAAAAATACCTTTGGGAAAAAATAGCATGGATACAAGAAAAAGCTCTAAAGAGCTCAGAGAAAAAGAATAGCTGATTTTCATTAGGATGTCACAGAGATGCAAAACATCTCTAAAGCATCTGTGTTATGAAAGGAAAATGTCAGGGTATCTCTTTTTAATTGACTCTTAAAAAGGAAAGTAGGTCATGCTTGTGAGGCAATAACCTAAAACACAAAGTTGTATCTAATAAAACTTCTGAGTAAGCTCTACTTAGGTCAATAAAACAGAATGTGCTAGAACCTGAAGCAAGCAGCCTCCATGAGAAATCCTTCAATCTTTTGTTAAAGCCACTATCAAAATATTATTCCCTAAAGCCAAAGTGCAGAATAAAAGTAACAGCAGAAAAACAGTTATTTAACTATTTTCCTGCAGTAATTGCAGCACAAGGAGGCCCTACTACATATTCAAAGCAAATGCTTGCATAAATCTTGAACAAATAAATATGCATTATAATCTTGTTTACTTGCTTCATTTGGCTGTTTTTTATCCTCTTGTGACTTAAAAATAACATGAAATCGGAAAACTAGAAAGGAGGTAGACTTTCAAGGACTACAACACAATTGGGCTTTTCTTTCATTCTGTCTGTTATTGCTTTGGCTTTGTAAAAAAAAGAAAATTATGACAATTGGTTAAAATTTAAAATAACATATAGTACTTTAGATGCTAATAGCACCTGCTGTAAATGCAATTAGAACCACCAGAACAATTTAAGAGCCATGAACGGAAAAACCCAAATGATACTAATAGTTGTTTTCCATTTGCAAAAGTTTAATATCCATTATTCCCACAATACTATTACTAAGTATTATAATGGTAGATAAATTGGCTTGCATTTTATACAGAATCCTTTTGGTGTCACTGATTGCTTAATAGCTTTATAATTGAAATCAGATTTACAGAAACAAACACAAGTGCATTTTGATTCAGTGTCTTGGCCATGGACACTTTTATATCTCTTTATAATTTTAGAGTTAAACCAACTCTCTGTTGACAAGCATACTGAAACACAGCTTGGTCATGCAAATTAAGCGACAGATCAACTGTTACAATAATCAATAGGCATTAACTGTGTGTATTTTCTTAACTTGAATTATAACATTATCTATTCATTCTTCAAATCCCTATAGTTTCCTGCTCTTAGTAAGAGTGATGGCTTTGCATTGCATGGAGTGTTTTTCTTCTTGACAAAGATTTGACAAGGTATTCATGGTTTTTCTTAAAAATATGGATTCATTTTGACCTAAACACATCTCCCAATCCACCACACCTCAAAGGTTCTGTGTTACAGAGAACTGGTGACTGTATGAGCAGGTGTTCATCAGATAAATCTTACTCATAAAGGGATTTAAAAGGTCATTAACAATCCTGAGTTAGACTGGAACATCTAACTGGTCCCCAGATGCTTGCAGTGTGTTTGAAAATCAATATAGTAAAAGTATTACCTTTTCTTACTTTCCTACACCCAACTGAAATTTGATTTTACATAATTGGCACTGGAATTGTTTTTATTGATTTATTTATTTTGGATTGCTTTATTGTGTTCTATAGCAAGTTTATTAACAAATTTGTGTGCTTAGTTTTACTGTTTTATCCCTTAATAATTACTTTATTATTTCTGATATTCAGCACTGTTTCAGCTGTGGCTGGTGGTAAAGCACTAGAGTCGACGATAATGATGATGACAACGATGATGACGATGACAATGATGATGAGGATAATGGTAATGATGTTCACACAAAAGTCTCACAGTGCCATCTGAGTGTTGCAACTTAAATTGAGAAGCTACAGACAAGCAAAAAGCTCCAACTTCAAACTTAGGAAGGGTGTTTATCCAACAAATTAGAAGAAAAACAGTTGGATAAAATGTACCCATCCACCATCCTACTTGGGGACTTTAATGCCCATATGGGAAATGGCAGTGATACATTAAGGGATGCAATCAGGAGGAATTCACCCCTCAGCTCTAAACCTGAGTGGTGCTTATAGACTACTGTAAGAGCTATGGATTATCCATAATGAACACCACATTCAAGCATAAGGGTGTTCTTTAGTGCACTTGACACAAGTATACCCTAGTTAAGAGGTTGATGATTGACTTTGTAGTCATATCTTCTGACCTTTAGTTGCCAGTCTTTGACACCTAGACAAAGAAAAGGCAGAACGGTCCACCAATCACCACCTAGTGGTGGGTTAGAGTGGTCTTTTTTCTACCCTTTCATGAAATCTGTGTCATGACTCAAAGAACGAGATCTGGATACAGGTAGCTGAAATGAGTTTCCTCACAGGATAGCACTCACTGAGAGATAGGGTGAGAAGGTTAACCATCCGGGAATTCCTCAGAGTAGAGATGCTCATTCTCTACATTGAGAGGAGTCAGCTGAGGTGGCTTGGGCATCTGTTTCAAATACCCCAAAATGCTTCCCTAAGGGGTGTTCCTAGCACATCTTTCAGGAAGAAGGCCCAGGAAATGGCCTGAGACATTCTGCACAGAATATGTCTGTTGACTGGCCCTGGAACCCCTAAGGCTTCCCCTGCAGGTGCTGGAGCTGGTGTTAGAGGAGAAGAAACTCTAGACATGTCTGCTGAGACTGATGCCCCTGCATTCCAAATGAAGCGGAAGACGAGGGGCACAAGAGTAAGTTTTTACATAAACTACATTCTTATCGTCTGTTCACACAATACACATTAATCTGGAAAGATTTTCCCTTTTTAGTCAATAATCAACTCAGTTCTTTTTTTCAGTCAATGACAATGAAGCATTTTATTCAATGAGTTGAGCTACACTATATTTTTCCACTGTATTAAAGTTTCATTTTGGGGAATCTGTGCAAATTGTAGCCTATTTTTGCTGCTGCTGTTGTTGCTCTTTTTGTTTTTAACTGATAAGAGTGGCACTAAAGAGGCCTTCTTCTGTGGAGGTCTGTAAGCTTTCAGGTTAACAATTAAAGACATATCTTGGGGGTAACAAGAGGTTATTTGGATTTCTGTCATCTTGAACTAGTCTGCCTGTTCTAAACTGACCTCTTACATAAACAACAAGTGATTATCTGAACAACTACTTTCTACTGGCTCAGTTGTAACTTTTTGGACAATTCTCTAAAAAGAACTCAAGCAACATTCTCAGTAGATCTAGTGTCTAAATACTCCAGCCTGCCCATCCGATAGGTGTACCGGATGAAGGGACAGTGATTGTATGTCTTAGTGTATTACTAACATTAATTTAATATGAACTGGGAAATGCAGTATCTATTTAAAGAATGATCACCAAAAAATAATTGGATTTAAGAATAATTTACTCCCCATAAATATGTTAATTGGTGCTGCTCTTTGATAACAGTTTGTTCAATAACCAAATAACTGAAGCCTGATTAAGTGAAAAAATGTACGTTGTTGATTTGAGATGTAACAGGAAGCAGTTTGATGTTCTTACCTTCATGGCTTTGATAGCCTGAGATCCGGAATAGTCAAACTCTCCAGCCTGGCCGATAGACAGACCACCTGACCCCAATACCAGCACTTTTGAAACCTACATTGAAAAAAATAAATAAGTAAAAATACTTAATATACTCAGTACTTAACAAATCTGTATATCATAGCTTCTTTTCCATTGGAGCATTAGGAAATTCCTTTGATTTATCCAAGTGTTAATCCTGCAACATAGAAATCTTTCCCATACAGTTTCCAACAGCATTCTTTCATTAATATTCCCTATGATAATTATTGAGTCTTTAACAAATCCAGATATATTTATTCCTATTATCATATGTGCTAATGTGATTTGGGTAAAGTGTTCTTAGACTTGTTGGTCCACAAATAGAGATTAATGTAAATAATTAACAAATATTAAACAACAACTATACCTTTGCTCTGGTAGGGATGCAGGACTTTTTGGGCATCACTGACACAATGTTAGCATTTTCTCCATTCTTTATCAGTGATATAAAGGCATCAAATAGAAACTGTGGGGGAAAAAAGCAAATCATAATTATGAAAACTAATTCCAGAATAGTCATAATTATGTTGTGACCTAAAATATGCAGAATTCTTAGAACTTTATGCTGTAATCAAATAGATTTCACATGTTATTACCCAAAGGGTGCATGAGAAAACAATCAGACTGTAACCGACTAGCTTGGGATATAAAGAATTTACTGTAACCTACGGGTTACAGCTTTGAAAACCTACTTTTCATCTTTGTACAACCTGGCTAAAGGTACTATAGCTCTGAGACATAAAATATCCCAGTACACCGGCTGAAATTTCTATAAACAAAATACTAATTTTAAAGACGTAACATGGTAAGGAAAAGATCTTTCATGTTGAACATTATTCATGTGACTGCAAACAGAATTAATCATGGCATCGGTGATTGCCAAAAGACAGAATTTGTTTTCAATAAAGATACATAAAAAATATTAGGAAAAAAAATGTTACTAGGGCAATTGTTTTAGATTTGCATGCAAGTATAGTAGATGTATATATGAAAATGTATATATAAAAAAAATAGCTGAAGTAAATAAAGCACAAAATATATTTTTACGGTATCTGACAGGCAAACATTACAAGGTATCAGCCATGTGGGAGAAGGCAGAAGGGAGCTATCACACAAACACTTACTCTACTGCAGAAAAAAATACTTTTCTAAATCATCTTTGGTCAGTAGACCAGTACAAAATATTAGACTACCTAAACTGAGTTTTACTGTATCTTTGAGGATATGGAATATTGTGTGTTTTGCTTGTTTTTTCTTCCACACAGATTTGTGTCAAATACATATTTTATCCATTTATTAGTATTTTAAGAGGTAGATAACACAAAAAGTAAATATACGTAAGGAGGAATGAAATGGATACGTGGTTTTACTAGAGCATATGAGCACAGCACTTATCCAGGTCATCATTTGTACAAGTCTTATTTCTTTAGAATTTTACCTTGGTTGAATCCTATGAATAAATCTTTAATTAGTTGCAGTATAGAATCCAGGTAGTTTATGCAACACCACCAAAGTCTTTAATTACCTCTGTGTCAGTGGGACCACCCTTAGCTTCCGGATGGAACTGGGCCGTGAAAACAGGCTTACTGTTGTGCATGATGCCCTGGAAAATATGCATATTATACACACAGAAATTAGATAAAAACTACTCTTAACATTCAAGAAACAAGTGTTTATATATGTTTTAAATACATATATAAAAACCTTTATCTGCTTGAATATCCTTTTCAGCTACTTGTATTACACAGAAAATGATGCATTGACAAGCCAATAGAGTCAGATTAACCTCATTGGTGCCATCATTAGCATTGACGAAAAGTGGGCTCCAGCCTGCTGGCAGAGACTTGCTGTCAATGCCGTAACCATGGTTTTGTGCTGTTATGAAGGCCTGTCCTGTCATCAAATTCACCACTGGCTGGTTCTGCCCTCTAGAGAACCAAAGATATGCATTAAGATCTAAACCTTTGTATCATTTTTCTCTCAGGCGAGGCAACTTTTGTTACCTCTTATGTTATATTTATACATCTTATCTTATATTCATATAATCTTTTAAAGACTCAGAAGCAAATAAAATGCAATGTCCAATTATTAAACATAAAATAAATTTACCTGTTACCCATTGGCAGTTTATATGACTTTGCTCCTGCAGCCAGAGCTGTTATCTGATTGCCCATGCAGATCCCAAACACTGGCTGAGGCCGATCACTCTGTAACACCTGAAAAAATAAATAAATAAAAATTAGATTAAAAGTGGCATTCAAAAAGAATTCATAAAAAAAAAAAAAAATCAACATCAACAAAATCAGACATGCATCTTTTAAAAGTTTTAGTTTCATTTAGCCATTTTGTTATTCATTTTGTCTGCTTTGAGTGCTCAATAAATATTTGTATTAGCAGAAGACGCAAAGTCACACTGAGCGTTAAAGGGAGCAGTGACTGTAAAACATGGCTGAACAACTTTAAGACGTATATAACTAGGCTGTTTAGCTGTTTAACATTTTACATTAAAGAAACAGTTAGTTAATTGGTCTAATTAACAGTAGGCAGTTAACATAACCAAGAGAGTGTAAACATTTAACTTCGAGATAACAAGTTGTCACAAGTTGGCAAATCCAGAATATTCCAAAACAGATGAAGGCTTAAACCTCTAGAGATGACAGAGCAACGCTGCTTTACCTCATTCAGCATTACCTGCTTAATATGACTCTGGGTCCATTGACAATGATTTAACACTCAAAGTACAAAGTGTTGTTCTGTGGTAGACCTCTTTTGTAAGCAAAAGTAAAGGAATCAAAACTGAAAAGGCAAAATGTTGCAATATGATCTAAAGGATTCACATAAATTTAGATCTTTCTCCATGTTAACCACCGACCAGAGACCAAGTAAAGACCAGAGTGCATCGAGATCAAGACAACACTAAGACCTTTAGGGACTAAGTCCAACAAGTGCTATAACACTACCCTTTGCAATAGCAGTCCGAATGGAAAGACCACATAAATCGAACTCAATAAAGCAACTTCTGAATTTCTTCCTAAACCTGTTCTGCTCAAACACTTGTCAAAAATAACTGACTTAAAGTCTTTTTCCTTTGGTAACAATCTCCACAATGAAGTGTGTGGTTAAAAAAAACAAACAAAAAAAAAAAACACGAGACCAACAGATCACAAAATATCTGGGTGCCTCATTGATCCTAAATCTTTCTTGAAATACAATGAAACAGAATCAGTGAATCTAGATTCTCTCTTTAAATCATACCTTGCGCACATTGTTGATGAGTTTTTCAGCCAAAGACGGGTCTCCTGGTCCGTTTGATATAAACAAGCCATCATAGTCCAAGCTCAGCAAATCCTGGTCCCATGGCACAAGGTGGACCTCTGCACCTCGCTGCATCCACAAAATATATGGCATGGTTGTTGCTTTCTCTTTTTTCCAAAAAATATGCCAAAAACCTGTGAAACTGATACATCTGTGTAATCCCTAGTTGCATCTTTAAAACGGTAGCATAATGTACTTGTTAATTAGTAAAAGCTGTGAAAAAAGCATTTTAAGTAAGAGTTAGTTACACATTTTACATTTTTATGTTCAAATGCATACCAGTGAAGTGTGAAGGAAATCCACAGTGAACAACAGTGTTTTGCCATTCTTACCTTAACCAACAGCCGGATTATATTATGTTTAATACCACAGTCAACAGCTACAATTTTGATTGGGTTGCCTTTTCCAAAAACTTGGATCTCCTAAATAAAGAAGTGATATGGTAGATAACTCTTTAAAGCTGCATTTAAACAGGATATAAAAGAAACATGCCTTGTTGTTTCTACCTTAGTTGAAACTTCTTCTATTAGGTTTTTCTGGTTGGGGTCAGATATTTCTATAGGCTGCCCATCAAACTCAATCTTTGCCAAAACAGTGCCCTGAGGACAAACAAAACCATAAAAGTGAATGACCAGCTACTAAGTTATTCTACAATGCCAGAGAGCCAACCTGTAAATATACAATACCTGGTCTCTGATAATCTTGGTTAACATTCTAGTGTCTATTCCGAAGAGCGCAGGAACCTTTAAAGTTCAATTTAAAGTTAATTACAGACAGGTTCTGCTTAACTCTGATGTTGCACAATGTGCTTGATAATTTCAAAACAAACCTTTTCTTCTTTTAGCCACTGACCCAAAGACTTTACAGAATTCCAGTGGCTGTATTCATGACTGTAGTCTTGAACAAGGAGTCCAGACACCTACGGTATAAGCATAAAAGCAAAAATATAAACAATAGCCAAAAAAAATAAAACTTTAGCCAGTTTATTTTAAATTTCAAATGGATGTCCCATAGAGAACTGAAACATCTGTATGTGCAACGGATACTTGAGAACAAGCATGAAGCGGAAAATAGGATAAATACCATTACCATCAGGAACATGTGCAGAAAACTTAACACTTCAAATCCTTCGTTTCAGTTACAATCTGCAATGAAGCAGCAACATTATAAAGCAGAAGCCTGCATATAGGAGATATATTTCCTGTCTTGTAAAGATCAAAGGAATCCCGACCTTTTAAAAGCAGATAAAGAAAATATTACACAATCACAATCTTCCTTTGTCATGAGACCAATGACTTGGTCTCATGACAAAATAACATTGCAATTCATATTGCCCCACTAACAAAAGACTTCTTCCAGTAAAATAACGTCCTTTTTGGGACTCTCTTGCATAATATTTAGATGCCTTATCTAATTTCAGTAATAAGGGATCTAAATAAAAGGTTTGTGGAAAACTAAACATTTTAGTAATGTCCTTGATGTAATACCTGGATATTTGCAGACTCCACATGTTTTCTTAGACCAAGTTCATCCATCTCCTGGGTGTTAGGTACTCCATAGTTCCCAACAATGGGGTATGTCAGGGTTAAGATTTGACCTCTGTAGCTGGGGTCAGTCAGGGCCTCAGGGTACCTGAATCGGTAAATCAAATGTTTGTGATGTATTACCGAAGCTCAATGTTGTGATGCTTTATTTTGAAATGTATACAAATCTAAATGAAAAAAGGATAGCGTTGACCTAGTATATAAGGTTATTGAGTATAGAGGTTTATAAAAAAAAATAATAATAATTGTAATGGCAGTGGAAAGGTACGCAAAACAAAAAAACAGGCATCTATTACAAGTCAAATTCATAAATATAAGAATAAAGCATATAATAACAATAAAGACCAGAGTATAGACCTAAAAATGTATTCATGTGTGCATCTATGTATGAAAGAAAGTTGATTCAATTGCAAATTCAACTGAGATAACTAGGAGGAAGGTTTTGTCAGGTCATGAAGTCGCATGAGTTCAATGAGAGATTCAAAAAGGTAAGGAAAAAATCTGCATCCATCCATTGCACTGTATAGATATATACTTTTTAAGTAGAGTATATTCAAAACACCCCTTAACACGCTTTGGTCAAATTGTAGAAAAGAGTTCACCTTAAGCATAAATCTCACTTAATAAAGTGTCCTTAACCTCTCATGAGAGGTCTGTGGGTGAAAACATGAGAAATACATGAGGGCTGTCTGTCTGTCTTTATTTTTCTTATTAATTTTTAACAACTATTTGGACACTACAGCAGAAGGAATGTTTGGCATCATTTGTGCAAGGAACTAGGAATACCATGGTTGTGGGATGCTTTCTTTTAGTAAGATCAAAAAAACATCACAGAATGAATGATTCTACCATGTGTCAGAGGGGCTTAAAATACAAAAAAATACTATAAATAATAATTCTCTATGTCTAAAACTAGATCCTGATGAGGATGAAATCTGATCTCAGATCTACACAATCCAGGTAATACTATATATAATGACAATTTCAGATATTAAAAAAAACAAAAACAAATAAAACATTCTAGGTATCCAGATATGTAGTTCTTGGATGCATCAAGCATAAACCAAGCTTTAGACATCCAGCATTTTTATTTTTCATAGAAAGAAAACTTTACATATTGGGAAGTAAAAACCCAATACACACGAATGAGGAAAGTGATGTTATTTGTATAAGAATAATAGTCAAGATATCTAAATTGCTCATTTTAGATAGGAAGAATGTTACAACCTTTAATTTCTCTGTAAGATTAATAAAAGATTTTCAAACTGAAATGAAATTGTGAGGCCATCTTTGAAAATAAATTAAAGCTAAAGGGGTGGATACCCGAAATATGATAATGATTACATACCAGGAAATCTACATACAGTACTACATTGAAAATAAAGAAATGGGAAGTCCTCACTCATTCTTGAATTCATACTGTATAATGTAATGTCACTTTAAATGCGCCTCCCATAAAAAAGAAAAACTCACATTTTACACCTAAAAGTCAGAACTGAGAAAGACTTTTCTCAGATGAACATAAAATACAAGTAAGATGCTACAAGAAGGGTCTCGCTGAGGTTCCATCCACTATAGGAGGCAATAGTAGCTATTAGAGGGTAAGATGCCCTCACCTAACTTATTAACTATATTTCATTTTTTTTTTTTTTTTTTGCTGTTTAAGCAGTATTAAATCTATTTTATTAACAGTTCTATATAAATTACATGAGGCTATCTTATATGAGGGATTCATAGAAAGGATTTAAGATTTTATAGAGATCTTCTTTTTTTTTGCCTTTATTATAACCTACAACCTTTTCTCGAGGCATTATTTCTCTTTTTTCTTTTTTTTTACCTGACAGATTTGTTAGAGGGTACAGTTTTCTTTAAGACTTTATGGTGTAAGGACAAAAGACTGAGTTTCTTTCTTACCCAACCAGGCCTGTATTGAAGACAAGTTCCCCAGCTACAGAGCCATTATGCCCAAAGGAAAACCCTTTCATCCTGGTTCCATCCTCCAGGACCAGGTGAGCTGTCTGTGCCTGAGAGTTAAAAGAAGGTAGACAGATGACAAGTGAAATCTCACCCAAGAATAATATATTCTCTTTTTCTAAACCCAGTTTGGACAGACCAAAGGCAAAACTTTGAAATAAGGCAGCCTGTAGATTTTGAGTGTAGGAGGGATATGGCAGCCAGTGAGCCACTGGGACTTTGTGCTGAAACTGCAGGTCATTGAGAAATGTGCTGCGAATGCTGAGACCGACAAATCTCTTCAACTGTTGTGAGCACGAGTTAGAGAGCAGGTCGGCGTTAAAGCAAAAGAGAGGGGAGATCCAGGAAGATAAATGTATGAATGTAGAGGTTGGTGAAACCTACTGGGGAGCAGCATCAGCACACATCAGAATGAATACAAATGGAACAGTTCGTTTTCAATATTTTTCATTTCTCACATTACATTTAAAATACTGATATATTGATAGTGATGATCTACATGTTGAAAGTTGCACATTAAATTAATTCCTGACTGGAATATAATGACAATTAATTTATTTTACAACAACAGTATGAACATGCAGCTATATCTACATAAAACAAATATAATTGAACTTTTTATTTTGTTATTTTGTTAAATTATATGTGGATACCTTGAATACAAATGTTAATATGTTTAGGGTATTTATTTACTTCTATTTAATTCATCTATATATATATATATATATATATATATATATATATATATATATATATATATATATATATATATATATATGCTGATTAAAGAGCAGAAGTAATCGAAGAAACTTCTGTTCCCAAGAAAAGATGATTATTCCTTTTAAAATCAATAAAAAACATGATTTTTAAAGCATGAATTTTATATTAGAGCCTATATTGTACAATCATGGTGAGAATTATAGTCTAGACAGGTGTCCAGTAGATGGTGACTTTCATCATCTATAACAACTATGAGCCAAAAAATGTAAATATTTTAGGGAAGTTGAGTGGAGGGAAAAATGTGGGTATGCAAGCCACAGGGTAACGTCTGTCTGTCATATATTGTGAAGCTCCTGGCGCAGCAAGTAATATATAGTAAAATAAAATAACATATAACTTGGTGTTGGATCTATTTAAACATCTGTTATTAGTTTAATGGTATTGTTTAATATGCACCCTGCTCACACTGTTTGATGTGTATTAGGGGCAGAGCTAGATGGGGACCAGGGGTGGCCATGGCCACTTTTAAGCCTGGCGTAAACTGTGCGATTTCGGGGTGATTCTCAAGTCGTGATTTAATAATAGTGCTTGTACATACAGAATGCTTATTGATACAAGTAGGTAAGTAATGACAATGAAACTCAGAACTCAAACATGATTTTTATCCACAACACCTTTTATCTAGAAATTACGCGTCTGTTTGTTAGCAAAGGCTGTAGGAAAGTATAGTTAGACTTTATTTAGAAAATATGGATCTTGTGCTCGTTAATTTTCAGTGTAGTTTGATCCTCAGGTTCTGGTGCTTATCCGCTTTCGGCCACCCCTCAGTGTACATTGGTTATTGCCTGGCCACCCTTATAAATCATTTCTGGCTACGTCTCTGGTGTGGAAATATGCATATATCTTAAATAATTGTAGATAAACAAGTTATTTAAATAAATTGACTAAATGGGCTATTCTGTGTCAATTAATATAAGATGTCTGTGAGCTGCATAGAGCAACTGAAGTGTCTGAACTATGATGCAACAGTGATTTATCCTGTAGATGTGATACAGGAAAGTCCAGCAGCTGCACTGGCAGCTGTCTAAAACTCTCAGTTAAAAACAGCATTCCTTCTAAGAACACAGGGCTGATTAGATAAAAGCACAGGAAAATCATATTTAATTTGTGTTTACGTGCATTTTATAAGGAATTGTCATATACATTGGAAACGTATATATTTATAACAGTTTTAAATATCTTATTGAACTTATATCCTCCGAAAGTATGACCAATTTTTAATTGCGCACACAGATTTTTAGTACCTCAATCAAGTTTGCAGCACTTCTGATGGAGGCTTAAAGTGAATTAAATTGGCACATCATCCAGGAGGCATTTTCTTACCTTGACACTGAAAAGTTTCGCAGACTGAAGTTTTGGCCAGCCCCACGCGTTGCCCACTTTCCTGCAAACCACGCATCCTTTTCTCAGAGATTTAACCACGCCGCACGCCAACAGGATTTTGGTCATGTTAGTTTTAAGTTCCCCTGTTTAGTAACCTCTGAGGGGTAAAAGCGGACAGTAGTCCTATAGAATATTGGAAATAATATCAAGTAGAGAGTTCCTTGTCCCACTCGTGTTTTCAGGGGCCACAGGCTGTCATGAAGGGAGCGTTTGAAAGTTTGCAGCGGATTGGCCGCTGAGCATTTGTTGTTCCGCACAAAGAAGCGGACGCTGTTTAGATTGGCCCTTTCCCCTAAAACAAAACATAAACGCCCACTTCTATCTCAAACGTGACAGCAGATACTTTCATTGTTTTTATATTCAGTCACGTACAAGTTGTAGGTGTTAACTAAGACGTTGGGTGTGTTGAAGTTTTGTAAATGAAACTGTACCTTTAATGCTATATTTAGACTTAAACTTAGACAGATTTATTCATCATTTTGTTTACACACGTCGAAAACAAAAATAAATTTAGTTTAGAACAGCTCTCTGGATAATTTCATTTTTTTTAAAGTGCAGTCTTGAAAAATAATTTAAAAATATATATAAAACATTAATATACACATATGACTGTAAATTTACAGTTCTAACATTTTCAGTTTTTTTTTTTTTTTGCAAGTGTATCCACATGTATTTATCTGTTTAACATTTGAATATGACGTCTTTATATGGGTAAACTTACTTTTATTGATCATTTTGGATTCATTTTAGCACAGGGAAGAAAAAAAAAATCCCCAGGAGTAAAGAGTTATTAGAAACACTTTCAGCTATTTGTGCTTGGAACAAACAGGACGCCTTCCCACTGGGAATGCCTGCACCCGCTTATGGCGAACTTGTAGAGTGCTTTATGTGCAATAACCGCTTTACAGTCTCTCTTTGAGTAACATTGCCTGCAAAGAAAAAAAAAAGCAAACCAAACTCTGTGCAGGCTGCATGGTGGTGGGATTAGAGTGGTCTGTGTATTTGCTGATGACTGCAAGAATGGTCCTCTGTGGAGAAGGCTGCCTGACTGCCACTCTGCTGTGTTCAGCAGTCTGAACAACATGAGAGTATCTGGACCTGAACAGATTGGGGAATATCTGTAACCAGAAGTAGCTGAACACATTTTACTCAGCCTGTTATGATTGATCCTTATTTCGCACAGATTCAAGAATATATCTATTAGTAATCATAATTTGGGGCTACAAGTATACAACTTGTGTATTAGAATTCATTAGTTGAAATTATATACTTTACATGTATCAACATAGCCTTCATTTTTATTTTATGTTTGAATTAGGATTTTTGCATTGGACTGAGCTCTACCCATGCATAAGAAAATCTATCTGAGATGAGGCGCAGCTCTTTGGAGCTCTGCTGACATCCAGTGGCAAGTCTCATCGATAGGTGCTCAGGAAGGAGCAATCCAGTGTTAACCATGGGAAAGAAATATCCAAACTACTAACATGTTTTTTTTTTTTTGTCTTTGTGCATTTGCATTTTTTTCACTCCGACACATTAAAGGCATATCTGTGAATTATTGTTCTTATATGGTATCACATCAGCCTTTAGTTACTATTTAGATCAGGATTGTTATGTGTATAATTTTATTTTATTATCAGCCCTGTAATATAGATCTGCCTGATCTTCCTTTCACTAAAGCATTAGATATCTTGACACTTTTTTCTATCTTGCTGGGATTCTATTAAATATTCTAGAACAAATTAGTTTGAATTGAGGAAACTGATACATGGCTGTCCAATGTTTTTATAAAAAAGCTTTCAAAAATTAAGATCTGTATTTGTATGCAGTACCCCTAGTTCAAAACTATAACCCAGTTTGAACTGCAACCAGGATACATAGAAGAACGTTAGCTCCATATGAGCAATCTAAAAAAAATCTGTGAAGATATATTGCATTGTTTTATGAAAGGAATTTAAGAAATAGAAAAGTAAGATTTGGTCTACCATAATATTCTAAATATAACAGCTGCCCCTCAGCATGATACTGCCACCATCTTGTTTCAGAACTTAGTGTTTAATGTGTTTTGCAGTGTACGTATAAATATTTACTAAACTGCTTTACTATCCTTATAGAATCTTATCCCCTGTTTGTTGTGTCCCCTAGTTAATACTTGTAAAAATAACTTTATTCCACCCCTTAACAAAGACAGATTTGTTGATTTTCAGATGTTGGATTGGATTGCACTGGTTGAGATGTTAGAAGTTTGGAATATTGGTGTATAACCAACCCAGCTTTAAAGATCTCAACAACTTCATCACTTTTATGTATTCCCTACATACTTATTACACCTCTGAGGCCTTTACAGAAATGTGCTATTAATACTGAGACTAAACATCACATATGTGGACTCTTCTAATAATATGACACCTGAAAGCAAATATTCCACTCATTTTATTTATCGTTACCAGAATCGAAGAAGACAATCCCAAATTGTCACTGAAAATTTGGATCAATGTTTGTAAAATAAAAAAGATAGGAAAACCATGTATATACTCATTATGTCACATGGCATTTTCTGTAAGTCAATTAAATAAGTTGCACTCTGTGGTCATTATTTGACAAAATCTTGCAGAAGGACCTAATAAAACCATTCATTATGATTGTTTTATAGGTAGTCCAAACAAGTAAAAGAAAGAGCTGGTTTGTTTTGTTTTTTTCTTTTGAGAATTCACCAGTCTTGTTTAAAATATAGTCTATGAAAATTGCAGAATCAGTATGTAAGACTGTAGATCTACACTGGTAAGAAAAGGGAAAGCACTGGAGTCATTTTGCATGCTGCACATAGTAGAAGCTTTAACGGCTTGAGTGTCAGCCTGACACCTTAACTGAAATGTTTCTTAAGACAACACACTGAGTTTATAACCATGTAATGAAAACAGCTGAGTATTATAGAGCAGTCATCAATTAAAATGCTGTCTAAACATGATGACTTTTACTACAATTCTTACTGGTACAAGAGTTGGTTTCCTTTTGGTCAGTTATTTTTTATTTACCTTTTTTTCTGATTTTTTTTTTTTTTTTTTTACAATAGAGCAGTTAAATCTTTAAAGGAACTAAATAGACAGCAAAGATTTGTTAATCACAAGATAAACATGAGAAAAGGCTTATTTAATGTTTAGTGTCCTACAACTGGACTTTTAAGGGCGATTCTGTTCATTTTCTGTTTTCATGTAGCTTGCTGACAGATAAGGAAATAAATATTTTAGCTGGATGGGATTAAACTTTTCCACATATGAACTTTAGTGAAATTTAACGGTGTGACAGGTATGTCAGTCATTTTGCTCGAGTTTTTAGAGAGATAAGTAAAAAAAAAAAACAGATCTGAGGACAGGATAACTTTTCTGTCATTTTCATTCCTTTCACTTTTTTCTCAATATGAAGCACTGATATGATAGAGCTTATCTATAGGCTTTGCATTTCTTTTTATAAACCCACCAAGCTATCACTAGGCCCTCATGTTGTTCTAGTGTTGAATTTAAAAACATAATTTTAATGCATTTTACTGATTTTGAAAACATTCCACAAACATGTTAAGCATAATCTGTACTGAATTGAACTATTTTTTTTATCACCCTTTGTTCTTAGTGTGAAGAAACACAGGATATAATGTCACAAAACAAGTAAAATAGTGCTTTCTTTTTAAAATTGCCCTTGACTATGTGACAGCTATGTGAAGATGAGAAGCCTGTGAAATACACTTTAGCCTTTTATTACCGTGAAGCCCATCATTAGGTGCCCTCAACTGATTGGCTCACTTGAGCTCTATAACAATCTCCAGCTTGTGTCTTCTGCAAAGGGATCCCACATTGTCTGTGGTCTCAAGTGTGAGTTTCACATAGTGACCGAGCTTAAGGGAGGACATAAATAGAAAGGCAGGCACCCTCACTATTCTCTCTGTGCCAGGTTTCCGAACAAAGTCTTGGTCCTTACATCACTGAAATAAAAGATGACATGCTTTCAAGGATGAATTAAGAAATTTTTATAGACAAGGACATAACTAACAAGTTAAACACATTGACCTTTAAGCCAAGCTCCTACAACCTGTGCTTATCTACTGTCTTGGAAGCTGTTGGTATTTTCTATTACCGGTATATGAAACCCAACTGGCCACACAAATTACTGACAGTTAAAGTGTTTAAAAGCTGATGCCAAATCTAAGTAGCATAAAAGGTGATATTAGATGTTAAATAATAATTTATAATAATAATACCAAAAATTATTGAACCTTATTAATCTCACATTGGAGAAATTTACCCTGTGCGTTTAACCCATCCACTTGAGGAGAAGTGGACTGCCATTGTGCAGCACCTGAGGAGCAGTGTGGGGTTAAGGGTTTTGCTCAGGAACCCAGAGTGGACGCTGTGGGGATTGAACCCAGTACTTGCAACCTTCTCAAAGCACAAGCACACTGCTCTAACCACTAGGCCAACACTTCCCCCCTTATAGAAAATATGGTTCAAAATCACTCGAATAAGCACAAAGACAAATATTATAATTGACTGTTGGTTACTATGCTACTACTGCTTGTGTTTGAGCTGTGCTTTAATGACCAGTGAAACATTCTGCAAGTAGATAAACAGCAACAAACATTTTTTACTTATTTGACTATAAACAAGTCCTAAAAAGAAACTACGGTAACCCCCTGGTCGGTTGCTCTATATTAATTACAGAAGACTTAGCAGGAGTTGAGCCTCTAAAATGTTACTTTTTCTTCTTTGAAACCTTGGGCTAGCCTGAGGTTATTTGTAAATTATCTGGGACAGTACAGCCATGATGTATACCCATCATATCCTCTAGATGTGGAATCAAAAATATGAAACACTTCTCATCCTTTATATAAGTTTACCATGCTTTAAAAAACATGGTTGGTTGGTTGGTTGGTTGGTTGGTTGGTTGGTTGGTTGGTTGGTTGGTTGGTTGGTTGGTTGGTTGGTTGGTTGGTTGGTTGGTTGGTTGGTTGGTTGGTTGGTTGGTTGGTTGGATGGATGGATGGATGGATGGATGGATGGATGGATGGATGGATGGATGGATGGATGGATGGATGGATGGATGGATGGATGGATGGATGGATGGATAACCTCTTGCTCTTACCTCCTCTTAAAACCTTTCATAGTAAGTCATTATAAATCAGACACTTTAACTGCAAAGGGGGTCCCACATTATAAAAGGAATCTGTTGCACATGAATTGATTCTTAGATTCCATGTATTGTTAGT